TTTTAATTTGGTTGCTTGTTCTGGGTTTTAAGGCAGACTCACAGTCTTTAGCCCAAGGTAACCTGGAGATCACAATAATTCTGTCTCACAATCTCCCTAGTGTTGATATTATAGGCATGAGCCACCAGGCTTTGTTTTAGGGTCTACATAGATTTTTTAACCTATTATTCTTTGCATTTGACAGGCTTGTTTCCATTCACAAATTTATATTAATCACATTTTCCAAATACAGAGATATTATTGATTTGGTTGTTGATGTAAGACCTTCGTTTTTAACCATGTCTACATGGAAGCTCTCTCTGTAAGCTCTGATTTCACTGAATCCCAGACTTTGCAGTAAGTTGCAGATATTTTCCTTTAGTCTAAAAAGGCTTCTCATTTCTTTTGTGATATTTTTGTTGATCCATTAGTTATTTTGAAATATGTTTTAGAGTGCCACAATTTTGTGAATTTCTAAACTTGACTATTATTGAGGCATAATTTTAAGTAATTTGATCAATCATGAATGGCTTCAATCCTTCATTTATTAAGACTAGTTTTATGTTCAACAAAAAGGACATGGTAGACAATGTTCCTTGTGTACTCGAGAAGGATATATACTCTTTACTTGTTCAGTAGAGTGCTCTATGTGTTCCTATAAAGTTTAGTTGGTTTCTTTTGCTGTCCCCATCTTCTATTTCCTTTTACTCTTTTACTAAAAGGAGGATTTCTTTGAGGCAGGGTTTTACTCTGAAGCTGGCCTGGAGCTCACTGTGTAGTCCACACTGGCTTTGAATTCATGGCAATCTCCCTTCCTCGGCTTCCTTAATGCTGGGATTATAGACATGAGTTACCATTCCCACCTATTAATGCACATGGGAAATTTAAGTCCTCAGTTATTATGTTTATTAAATGTCTGTTGCTCTACTCAATTCTGTCAGCTTTGGCTCCATCCATCTTGGGGGTCTGTTGTTAAGTGCTAAGTGTACTTCTTATCATGTATGTGGGTCCATCAATTTCCCCTCCTGTCAACACTCTCACAATTAGCACTTGAATAAACAGGAGTGACAGTGATACAGAATGTTGAACATTTAAGAGTAATGAGTACCTTATGTTCTCCTTTTCGGGAGATGACATATCGCTCGATGGCTGGTTGGCAAATATGTCTTATCTAGACATAAATGTGCTTTTAAAACTAAAGCTAACAAGTTGCTTAAAATTAATTTTTCTTTGATTTTATATATTTTGTTATATATGTACATAGTGACTACATTTGCAGTCGGGCAGTGGTGGCGCACTCCTTTAATACCAGAACTCGAGAGGCAGAGGCAGGCGGATCTCTGTGAGTTTCAGGCCAGCCTGGTCTACAAAAGCTAGTTCCAGGACAAGGTCCAAGCTAAAGAGAAACCCTTCTCAAAACACACACACACACACACACACACACACACACATATTTGCATTAGTAAAACTGAAAGTGTCTTCCTTAATTGGTAATTACAAATGGGATTAATTCTGCAAAAAATAACTTTCATATATATTACCAAAATCTGTGAAGTGAATTACTAACAATTACAAAAAGTTTTCATTTTTAAAAAGATTTATTTTTATTTTATAAATGTTTTGCCTGCATGTACATATGTGCACCATACACATGCCCAAGAAAGAGGGCAGAAGAGGGCCGCCCCTGGAACTGGAATTGCGGACCACTGTGAGCTGCTGTGTAGGTGTCGGGAGTTGAACCAAGGTCTTAGGCAGGAAGAGCAAATGCTCTTAACTACTGAGCCATCTCTCCAGCCCCGAGTTTACATTTTTAAAATGAAATGACGTGTGTAGTGATGAATGGATATACAAAGAAAATGTGACATATATACACAGTGGAATAGTATTTGGCCATAAAAAGTGAAAATCTATGTGATTTAAAGCAATATGGACGGAGATGAAGGACTTTATGTTAAGTGTTTTAAAAGCAAGGATATGGTTCTTACTCTTATGTGGAAATATTTGTTTCATAGAACTTGATCATAGAATAATGGTTGCCAGAGATTAGGGAGAGTAGGAGGAAGGTGGAATGGAGAAAGGTTATATAATAGATGACATAGCACAGTTATGTGAGAGTAATGGGTTCTGGCTTGATTCAGCACGGATGAATGACAACACTTCATAGCCTGGCAATGCTGCAGTAATGTGTTTAATCCCAGCACTTGGGAGGCAGAGACAGGCAGATCTCTGTATGTTCGAGGCCAGTCTGGTCTACAAAAGCTAGTTCCAGAACAAGTTCCACAGCTACACTGAAAAAACCCTGTCCCAAAACTCCCCCCCAAAAATAGATAAACTACAAAAATTTCCCAGAGTCCCTAGCTTAATATGTATAATAATGTGTGAAATCTGCCTGCCACAAAGCCTGTGGTAAGGCTGCCATGTTCACCACTAAGTAGCAGAATGCCTTCGATCTCAGAATAAGGTTTTCTCTCCAGAGCTTCATCAGTCCCAGTGTTTTCAATTGCTGCTATCTTGTTCATTTGCATAGTTGTAGAATTCTTAAAGTTTACCCCTCTTAATCATTTCTCTTCTTGTAATTGCTGTAGTATTTCCACCTTAATATTTCCATTGTTCCTCTCTAATGTTTTGTTAGCAGTGAGCTCTTTTACCACTGGGAAAATAAGAGATATTATAGACAAGTTGTAGAGTCTTCTTTTGTTCTGTTCTAAAAGTTTTTGCAGTACTGCCTTAAAGGAACTGTTTGGTCCTAACACACACACACACACACACACACACACACACACACGCGCGCGCGCATGCACACGCACATAATAGAGAGAGACAGAGACAGAGAGACAGATATTCATGTTTAAACAGTTTTGGTTGGATGATAATAGAAAATATTACAAAAAGTTCATATCCCTTCTCTGGTCCTTCTCAGCAAGAAATTCTACAGTTTGCTCAAAAACTTATTTGAAGATTTCATGTCAGTTTGGCAACTCAAACAGAATTGAGCATGATACTCAGTCATTAGTTTGTTCTACTATTTTATCACTAGCAAGTTGCAGTTTTCTGCCAGATTAATTCCCACTCAGGTAGTTTTGTTCCCATCCAAGTCCCTGAGCTTTATACTGTGACCATGGAATATAATCTCTTTCATTTTTACCCCTTCCTTCCATTTTGTAATTGGGCTAAAACACTACATGTTGTCATTTTACTTTAACTCAAAACAGATTCTAAGATGAGCATCATGGTATATTTCTCCTATCCCAGCACTTAATACAAAGAGGCGTGAGGATAGTGAGTTTGAGGCCAACCAAAGCAATATAGTGAGAATCTGACAAAAAAAAAAAAAAGAGGAGAGGAGAGGAGGGGATGGATAGAGGCTGAGTGGCCAACTCCTTTCTTCCTTTAGGAAATCATTTTGGCCAAGCTAGTTTGAAAATATCTTTAGAAGGTCTATATAAGTTTGCCTTAAATGACATCAGTACAACCCACTGGACTGCCTCACAAACGTTCTGTTAGTGCTATCTATAAAGTCAATATATTCAACTCCAGTGCGAGGACAGTGTGTGCAATCAATTTGTATGGTGTGGTGAGATGTGGGACTTGAAGCAGTGTAACAAGTAGATAACTGGCAGAATCAGTCTCCCTAGGACTCACTCCATGAATGAAGGTCAGCTGGGCAGTGGTGGTGCACACCTTTAATCCCAGCACTCGGGAGGCAGAGGTAAGCGCATCTTTGTGAGTTTGAGGCCAGCCTGTTCTACAAGAGCTAGTCCCAGGACAGCTAGGGCTGTTACACAGAGAAACCCTGTCTCAAAAAGAAAATTGAAGGTGATAATTCAGTATTATGAAGTTTATAAAAACATATGAGCCAAGCATAGTGGCCCATGCCTCTAATTCCAGTACTAGAGAGACTGAGGTAGGAGGATTGCCATGAGTTTGGGGCTAGCCTAGGTTGCAGAGAGTTACAGCCCAACTTCAGCTATGAATTAAGACCCTGTCTTGGGGGGAAAAAAGTGGATATAATGTTCTTCACACAGTGGCAAGTGCCGAATATTACTGCCATCCATAAGTCTTGATTAAAGGGATGGACAAATGAATGAATGGACAAACAATGAGACAAAATGCCTATTGCATGTTCCCATGTAGATTTTCCTCCAGACTTGTGTTTAAGAGATGAAGAAGGTCGTGCTTGGTGGAGTTTAGTAATGCTGGTAACGAACAGATTTGCTCCTAGCTTCTCCTAGGAGAAAGAGCCATGACTTGGTGAACCCATGCTCTGTCTGTTGGCAGAATTTTCTATTCCAGTTAATAGGAGCCAGATCTGCAGACAGACAGTTGGTTGAGTTCTTACAAGGGGATCGTTACTGAACAATTAAAATGAAAATAAGTATTTTAAATGCCTTGTTGGAGCAGCCTGCACAGTTTTGAACCTACTCTTTTTCCATCTACACCCACACCTACTCTTTTTACATCAGACCCAGGGCTTCTTGGTCTGACTTGCACATATTCTGGTGATTTCTTTTCCTTTCTTTCTTTCTTTCTTTCTTTCTTTCTTTCTTTCTTTCTTTCTTTCTTTCTTTCTTTCTTTCTCTCTCTCTCTCTCTTTCTTTCTTTTCTTTCTTTCTTCCTCTCTCTCTCTCTCTCTCTCTCTCTCATTCTCTTTCTTTCTTGAGGCCCGAATGCACAGAGTGTTGCCTCCTCTCACTTCCAAATCTGCACAGCTACCTGTTTGTCAGATCCTCTTGCCAAAGCAATAGTTTATTGTTCTTTATGGTGTATAATAGGGAAATACATGTGCCACGACCTGTCCTCACCTAACTTCAACCTTCCCTAACTAGAAGAATGCTCAGAAAGGGACCAACGGGCCAACTGCGTCACTAGTTCTCCAAGCAGTTATGAAATAAGACAAACCCGAAGGTTTGGTTTTCCCTGCAAACCACACACAAAATGCTGTCTCCATTGAATGCTCCTGGTGGAGCCTCCTCCTCTTGATAATGGTCATTTCCAGACCAAGAGACTGGTTCTCCACTCACCTTTTCCCCCTTTGAACTACTGTTCCGTTTTGGGGACATATTTCAGTTCACTTTTAATATTCTGGATCTCCGATAGGTTGACAGCAGGTCCTGGGAGTTTCTTTGCTCCAGGAATTGGCTTCTTCTCTTCCTCCGAAGTGGGAGGAGCCCCCTGAAAAAAGGAAAGAAACCAAAAACCAGGATATTTCATCTCTCTGGCTCATGGCATAGAGAAGGAAAACAAATATCAAAAGAAAACGTCAGAGTGTGACTCTAGCATCAGGACTTTCTTCTGTACCTATTGTTCAGATAGCTTTAGAGTTTCAGCAAAATTCCCTGCAATTTGTACAGGACTGTAAAATAATGTAAGGGGAAAAGTACTTTCCACATGTCTTAGGACACATTAAGCAACAATTGAATGTCCGGTAACTAATAAACACTGCCAGCAGTTAGAAGGGGCTAGCGACTCTGATTTAGTATCATACCATCCTCAGACACCTGAAGGCAGAAATCTGTAAAATGTCAGTGCACAGTTAGCCCCAATTAGTCCCAGAGTCTGCAAAAATTTGCTCAGAGTATGGTGGCTGTCAGCCTTTTGTCCTATGGTTCCCTTAGGAAACCAGCTCAGAAGGACATAAGGAAGGAAAACATCTTTGAATATGGGAGGGAAGGTCAGAGGCCAACCTTTGCCTGCTGCTTTGAGTAGTTTCAATTCCATATCATCAAAGGAATCTCAGCTCTAGGGAGGGACACACAGCCTTTTCTGTTTGTGTGCGGCTCCTGGAGTACCTGAGCACAGAGGCTCGAATGTATACTGGATGATTTTTATTTAACTGGTTTATCCCATAATCAACCTACACCTCTATGTGCGTGCACCTAGCACATACAGAAAAGGACTAGAAAGCATTCCGATCAGCTACTGTGTGTAGCTCCATCTAGTTACGAGAGAAGAAAACTACATGCTAGCCTGTTCTTCCTATTTGCCTGAAAGGAAGATATTGGAGAACATTTGATCACCCTAACAGCCAAGGTATCATCCCTTGGATCAGATTACTTCAGGGGTAACTGAGTGACTGCCCTAACTCCTTGTCACTAAAATCCATCCATCACCATGCAGAGGTCACATTTGCCAGATCTGCTGGGAACAAATGACTGAGCGCAGCAGCATTCCTAAAGTGATACCCGGCAGACAGGAACTCCACCCAGGAGAAATTTAGGTGGGAGAGTTGGGCTTCGAGCCACACTGAGGTCTGTATTTCTCCCAACAAGCCCTTCTGTCTTCTTCCCCTGCATCTAGGCCTCAGCAACTCTCCTGTAGCTCTCACCCATCTTTCCATACAAGTGTTTCCCCTAATAAATACTTTGTACCTTAAATGTCTATTTTTTAGAGGACTCGAACTAATATAGTTCCCAGTGCAGAACTGTCCATAGCTCCATCTGCTCAGCCAAGAACTGGGTAAACCGAGTGTGTGTGTGTGTGTGTGTGTGTGTGTGTGTGTGTGTGTGTGTGTGCATGCGCGCACTGCAGGCATGCATGTCAAGGATAAGAAACTGCACATTTGCCTCCCACGGAGACAGTGTTAAAGATAATTCTTTTAGTCCAGATCTGGTGCCTGCCTGTGTCTCCTTCTCACATGGGTTAGAACCTAGAGGAAGAATGTCCAAGCTTCCATGAACTCTGTCTGACAAATCACTAAGTAGATGTGTCCCTCATAGATATGTTTTTAAATTGTTTATTGGGGAGGATGAGTAGGCATAAAAGACTGAGGTGTTATTCCTCTTGTAAGGGCTAACAGGACTTCCTGTAGTTATTTTCTGTGCAGTTGGTACAGTGCTGATTAAACAGCTAATGTGTCACCCCCACGAAATGATAAAGTAACTCAATGAGAATGTATCTGTTGCAAATCCCTGGGAGATAATGTTTCTGTCGGTCCAGGCACAGAGACGTAAGCCTGGTTTCCGTTCTCCACACAAACACATCCATCACTTACAAGTGTTGATACACAAAAGGTCATTAAAACTGTAAAACACCCACTTGAAGAACCAGGTATTCCAGAATGTTCTTTGCTGGGCGTTCGGGAAGGGATTTTTAACAAGGCTATAAAGTGTTGCTTCTTCTTAAATATGTGTAGCAGTGAAATGAAAAATGCTTCAGTGCTGAGAAATGCTCCCACGGTTGGAGGTGGGTAGATCTTAAAGAAGCACAAAGAGAAAAATGTTTCCAGATCCTTCTGCTAAGTTCCCAGATGAGTCCTCTCCATTGTTGGCACATTTAACACATACAGCCAATAGCTACGCTTATGTGTCTGGGGCGGATTTATAAGGTGAACTTACACAGATTAATAAAGAAATATTTAATGCTAGGCATCTTTCTTACATTATTAAGACCTCAATGGACTGGGTTTTTTTCATTTTTTATTAAGATAAGTCTTGACATTTGATTTAGTGAGGTGGCATATAATGGAGATTGTCATGATTAAGAATGCGATAGTATGATATTGTTCAGAACACATTTTTATATTGAAGTTCTACCACCTTTTAAAAACATAATGGAAATCATATCCCTCTACTTCTGTGAATTTATTATAAGAATTACAGTAAACTACAGCACGAATAAAGAGGATTCTACTTGAATCATGGAGGATAACCCTTTCCACAGATATCTCAAGCCAGCAGACAGCTAGAGGCTATTTATTCTTCCATACAGCTGAAGCGAGTATGAGGGAAACCTTACCAACCCCAGCGACATTCCCCCACTTGAGTGAGAGCTCTGTGAAGGGAAGTGTCTGCCTTGAGAATCACAGAGGATTTGCCAAATGCTGCAGCATGGTGAAGCCTTTCCAAGCTGCCCCATCCCTGCCATTCTTTACTACCAGATGCCCTACTGAGTTTTCCCCCAGGCTCTTACTGAGGCTATAGAGTTTGACTTAATAATTCAAGTTCAAAACTAAAAACTCACTGCTATCAGCAAACACTGCTAGCTGTTCTAAGTGCATGTGCTAAATTATTTAATTCTCACACCACTCTACACATCTGCTTTTATCCCTACCTCACCACTGAGACTGAGGTATGGAAAATAAAAAATTGCTCAAAGCCTCAGAACTCGTAAGTGACAGGGCTAGAATTAAATAATATGTTTGCATCTTGGGAAGGGACAAGATGAAAAGGAAATATTGAAAAGAAAGTCCCAATGTGTAGCATAATGAGAATAATGATATTTTAGTTGAAGAGTGATTGGGAGACTTAAAAATAGCTCACCAGTACCTTCGGATTACTTAAAACAAGCAACTGCTTTTCTTGTGCAAAAGGATTTGGACAGAAGACCCCTGGGACCCCGTGCATGCTTCTGTCTACCAAGCCAAGTTTGGAAGGTGCAATCCATGTTTGTAGGCAAAACAAAGGGCTGGTCAGAAGCCACAGGTACACAAGAGACCTTATCAGAGAGCCAATGACTCCGGGTCTGGTTTTTGATGGGATGCAACCCTTTGCTCACTTCTTAGAGGATGTCAAAATCCAAGTACCTTCTGAGTTTACCTGGGGTTCTAACTGGCTAGGATGGAGGTGAGCTGTTCTGGTTGCTGATGGTGTGCTACAAATCACACATTATACTACGATTCTGTTAGCATGGAGCTCAGCAACAAATCCTCAGTCTATGACTGTAAGCATTTCTTAGTTTGCAAATCCAGAGTACACTAACAAATGTGGATATGGGAGGAATTGTGAATTCACATTCAAGTTCCTCACTGAACGTAGCTGGGGCCTCAAGCCAATCCACAGAAATCCTATTTAATGCATCTTGTAGCTACGACAAAATACCCAAAGACTCTTGCAAAGTTTCTCCGGGAAAATTATTCTGAAGCCCAAGTCAGAATTTGAGCCATGATGTCACTTCTTCCCTCAAACTCCACAAGCCCTAAGAGTCCCTGCTTGTATTGGATAAGGAACAGAGTTAGCTCTCTGCTATACCCATTGAACCCCAAGAACTAGGAGTGTCACAGAGCATAGACCACCTCTACAGTCTCAGGATCTCTGAGAATATCTTATTCTCTCTACCCTGTGAGGAATATCAACTGGCCATTTGAACACATGAGTGGTTAGAAAGCATATTATCACAAACCAAATGGTGTAGGCCCTTGGTAGTTTTATACAGTGTGTCCACACCATCAAATTAGGAACAAGAACATACTGATAGGCAAGTGCTTCCCTAGCGTCCTAAGTGAGGTGTTCATGTTGTGCAGGGAAGAACCCAAGGCTGCCTGCCCCACAGATGGAGAAGACCTGAGCCCCGCTCAGCTGTGATATCAGCCAGTTTCACAGAGAAAAGGATCAAGCTACCTTCTGACTATCTGTTGTCATAGTGACAGAGAGCTTAAAAGGTGAGGAAGAAAAAATTTACAATAGCAAATTAATGGAGGCGAGGGCAGAGTGCCATGGCCGTCCATTTAAACTCCCCATGCCTCGCTCTTAAAAGCTGCAGAGCAGGAGCTCTGGAGTCTTTCATTAACATTGGATAACCATGGCAATTTCTAAAGAACTACTTACTTATTAAATACCTACCAGATTATACTGTGTCCATTATTTCTCTCATTCCTTCCTGACAGCAACCCTCTGTTGGAGGAGACCCTGTTTGACTAACACAAACTCGTATACTTGACCCAAGTCCCAGACATAAGAGTTACTCAAAAAAAAAAAAAACCCCACAGCAAAAAATAAATAAATAAACCTCTTGATCAGAGGCTAAAGCCGAGGAGGTATGATCATGATCAGGAAAATGCACAGGTAAAAAGGTGAGATCCAAGACCAAGGTCATTTTAGGAAAGTTTGAGGCAGTGGGCCAGATATAAAAGCCATAAAAATCCTTACCCTTTAAAATGCCCTGATTTTTCTACTAATGAAATTATCTAAACCTTTAATCCCACCTCCCTCAGGAGGGCACTTGTTTCTGCTTGTTGCCTTTATTCATTTTCGTCTCTATTGCATAATATCTGAATTGGGCAGGGAGTAGAGAAAAGGGAAATACAAGAAGGAAGACTAGACAGACTCCCGTGGAAAGCCTTCTTTTCAAAGAAAGATCAAGATGACTGAACTTGAAAGTAACTTAATGCGCTTTCTTACTGGGCTCTCACTGAGGTTAATCTCCCATCAGAAGCCACACCACACACAGCCTGCTCCGTTTAATCACAGACCCTGAGTAAAAACTTATCAAGCAAGTGACGAGCGCTAAGCCCGAGGCACCTGTATACAAAATCAGTCAGCAACTGGAAGTCCAGCTTGGCATCTTCAAGCGACTTTGTCAGACACTTTAACACTGGCTGAAACGGAAGGGAGGCCCAGAATGTCCCTGCTAACTGAGAAATTTCGCCTCTGGAAGAACCAGACCTTGCTTATCTCTGTTAGCTATCTTCCTCACCTCCTCTGCTTCAGGAGTACACTCTTTCCTTCTGGGGGGCTGACCAGCTCCTGGTCGGAAGGCTCCCATTGGAATATTGATATTTGCCTAAAAAAGAAAATGGGAAATTTCGCTTAAGAATAGGAAGAAATTGCAATGACATTCTAAGACAGCAATCATTGTGAGGAAAACGCTTCTGAAAAGTACATCCTCAGTGCTTTTTATCTAAGGAAAATTGCTGCAACAACAGCGCAAAAATATGCAGCCGAAAATTTCCCTTCCTTTTATTACATATTTCTGTATTCATCCTTATATCTCTGCAGTGATTTGATAATTCCTTATTGGATGGAAGAATTTTTGAAGACAGTCTGTTCTGGTCGTTGCCCTCCTGTGGCACATATTATTCTCCCCTTTCGGTGATGAGGAATTTGCACATAATGATAGGAAAGGGGCAAAGAGCATCCACAGAAGCTATAGCACATTTAGTTCTTCATCAGTTTCCTTTATATGTACAGTGATGAGGATGCTTTCACATTTCCTAAGGCTCCACCTCCTTCCTGTAGCATCCTGACACCGTTCTGGCAGCACCTCAGACCTCTGAGTTGATGTTCTTCTATCTTCTCCCCAAACACTATCGTGTGTGGGACAGTAAAGGAAAAGGACAGAGCTATAAAATCAATTTCCTTTTTTAAATAAAGAAATCAACTATTATCCTTTATTAAAATAAAATACTAATCTCCTTCAGTGGCAAGCATAAAATACCTTCTTGTAAACATGAAATACTTCAAACACTAAAATATGTAAGAATATGTTGACACAGTAATTTGAACTTGAGAAGATAATATGTAAATTCAAATTTTACCCGTATTTCTCCAGACATCAAAAGGTGAAAATATTTAATACATACCAAAAAATGTTTTCAAACAGTGACATCACTCAAATGAAACATGTTTTAAACAGTTTTAAAAACTAGAATGCACTTTTCCACTGAAGATAAAATGTTGCCTTAGAAGTAATTGGATATATGGGCTTTAAAAGGTTAAATTTTATTTTGATATGCGTGAAAATGATGCCTAAGCAAAAGAAGCAAAATGGTTTTTTGCTAACTTTTGACGCAGTGGATGATTTGGGTACCACACCAAATGAAATGAAGAAAATCTTTTGGAGCCAGCTGGTATAGGCTCTCTTGCCAGGGTAATGATTAACCTATAACAGAGGACATAGCCAGTGTCATTGTTCACACGGTATGGCAGATCTACATTTTGCCTCCGAGGAGAGCAGGCTTGCAAACTCTCCCTCATGCTAGAATAATGCTTATCCCACAGAAAGGAAACCAATTGCAAAGTGTTAGCGGCAAATAGCAAGAACGATACATCATTTTTATTCCAAGAAGTATTTTTTTATCATCATGTATCATAAGAGAGACACATAAGATGGAGTGAAAGATAGATCTTATGTCCTGGAAAATATGGAGCAAAAGTTGATAAATCTCAAGAGATCATAATTTTACTCTGTTGCCCAGGCTGGCCTCAAACGCCTACACTCAAGTGATCCTTCACCTTCAGCTTCTCCAATAATTGGAATTTCAGGAAGGCATCATCTCTCCAGGTCATCTCATAATTTTAATTGGCGCAATTCCTTTATTTCTTAGGAGGACATAAATTAATGCTATTCACTATGGATGTGTCTCAGCGATAGAGTACCCACTTAGGACACTTTAGACTCTCAATTAGATCCAGCACCACAAAGAGTCAAAACTGAATAAAATTAAGGAACAGTATTTCACCTTTGACAGTATTTAGATTGAATGACATACATCGAGGCTTTAAATAAGGCCAAAACAATGTGAACAGACTCAGAGAATATGATCTATATTGGACCAACAGATTACTTCCTCCGCTCCAATTTGGATGAAAGAAGAAAAAGGTCAAGTCAATGACTATTTGAGAGAGGATTAATTAATTAAAAGTTCAGTTAGAGCCATGTGTGGGGGCATACGCCTGAAATCCTAGCACTTGGTGGCTAAGTCAAAAGGATTGTAAGTTTGGAACCATCCTGGGCTAAAAAGAAAGGCCCTCAATTCCCTTCTCCTGAAAAAGGAGTTTATTTAGAGTATCCCATTCAATCCATTTATTATGAATCTATAGGAAATACCTTCCTAATAGTTAAAATCCTGTATCTGGAAGATTTGGTTTTTAAGTCATTTAATCAAGCTCTATAATCAAATGTAGTTTTCAGAAAGGAAACATGCCAAGGTGATGTTATGGGGTGACAACGTTTTCTTATTTGAAGATTATTTCTAGAACCTCTTGTAGCCCTTCCATAGGTGGTTTCTAAAAGTGAAGCAGAGCTGGTAGTTGCTATAGATTCTTTCTAATTGAAAAAGTGACCGCTGTCCTGGGCCTCGGCATCCCCATTTGTGGTAGAAATAATGGGTTCCTTCATGGTTTTTAAACGTGCTAACCATAGAACCTTCCCTTCAAGTAAAACAATGCAGGGATATCTAAAATAAGAGATAGTATTCATCAAAGAAACTTCTCTTTGCTACAGATAGAGACCATTACAGAAAACCACAACTAGTCAAAATGCAGAGGACAACAGATCATAGTGTCCAGTTCTTACGGATACACCTGCAATACGATGCCTGCACCCAAGGCTCAGACATCACAGAGGAGGGTAAAGAAAGATTGTAAGAGTCAAGGAACCAGGAAATCTGCTGTTAGGTTGTGTCTCCTAGAAATGACAGGGAAGCTTCGTCCAGGATACCTCAGCAATATGGCTGCCTAAAGAAGACCTAAATAAACAAGGACAACACCAATAGCCATGCTAATACTGAAAGGAAAATCTCAGAGTCCCACCCCTAGACAAAGAACAAAGGCAAGTAAGGAATGTTGAGACTGGGGGAAATAGTCTTCCCTAAGAATGAGCCCCCTACTGGTTATGTGATACCAATTGGTCAGCCCTGAAATTATATATATACAAGTAACACTGAACTGAACTCAAGCTGCTGTGTATATATATATGCACATATACATATACATATATATATATATATATATACATATGCAACAACAGCAATTAAAGAACAAACGCCAAGGATTTGAGGGGGATCAAAGGCTGGAAAGAGGAGAGGAAAGGAGAAAAATTATGTAATTACATTTTAATTTTGAAAAATTAAAGCACATATTACCTAATGAAAAGTTAAGTGCAAAACAGGCAGACAAGGAGGGTTCATAACATTTTCTTCACAACACTCAGCCTTGTGAAGATCATTAGTTTTTATTTTGAAATAATATTGCATTAATCCTGTATGGCTAAATGGATAAAATACAAAAGAAAGAACTGGTGCATCTTTGATAGATATGATAATTTTTTGAATTATGGAACATAGTGCTGATGATAAAACTGGTCTTTCTTTAAGAAATAAATGTTCTAGTGGCCAGAGAAGGAATAATAGGATTTAATAAAAGCTGATATTCTTGTTAAAAAAAAAAAGATCATCATCTTTGTTTGACTGATAAGCAGATTAAACCTCAAAGAGTTTAGAGTTTATGATCAAGGTCACATAAACAGTACAACAAACAAAGGCCAGATTGCCAAAGCAAACTCTTAGAGTTAACCTTTCCGCTGTACCAATCTAGGTTCCCAAGAGTTCTTTTCCCTTGGCTAAAGTTAGCTCTAACCAGCTCTAAAATCGCAGGCGTACTCCGAGAGTGACCTTTGAAAAGGAGAACACAAAAGGCATACTTCTAGAATAGATGCCAAACAAAAGCTTCACTGAAAAATGAGCCATTAACTCGGTGACATGACACTTTTTCTTCTTGAAGGCATCACTCAAGAAATCGGGAACCTAAATGGGTTTTGAGAACAGCAAATATTGATGGGAACGAAAGCAGCCTGAAACCATGTTGAGCGTCCAATCATTGCTGTGCATCAATAAGGGAGTAAGAGGAATGCTTTGTCAACTGTGTCATGCACTACACTAGTAATAAGATAATTAGAGAGGCTTCATTATTATAATTGTAGGGCAGTGATATCTGAGTGACAAATTATAGGCTACATTAGAGCCAGAGGAAAAAAATCCTTATAACTTGAATTTGGTGGGGAAATGTAGACCTGTAGATCATTTTTATTTCTGTCATCCAGAAAATTGGGTCATATTCTTGCCTTTTCACTGCCCTGCTCTATGTCTAAATATAAATAAAATACCTTTTCAATCACTCAGTACTTCCATCTGCAAATTGGGCGTGGTGTTTGCTATTCAAATTGTGTATTATACAAGCTATATTTTTTGAACTTTTCATTTTCTTCAATATACGATTTTTATTGATTCTTTGGGGATTTCACATCATATATCCCCATAACACTTGCTTTCCAGTACTTCCCTGCTCATACCTCCCCCCACCCTTGTGACCTTCCCCCAGCATAAAAAAGTCCAGTCCAGTTTATGTTAGCTATATACTCACTGGACCATGGTCAAACTCTCAGTGGTCTTCCCCTTAAATAGAACTGAGTTGTTCCTCTGCCACACACCCGCTGGAAGCCATCTATTGTGGAGGACAATACTAGCATTCTTATCACAGTTTTTACGAGTTCTCTTCCATGGCTTCCTATTTAGGATGTTACCATTTCCTTTGTTGGTGTGTGTGTGGGTGGAGGGAAGGTTCGAGTAGAGGTAGGGATTGTCACAGAAGTCTTCCATGTCCTTCTTTCTCATCTGAGCATCTGCAGTCATCGATATCATTGCCAAAGCATGAATCATGGCCTCCACACCATTTCTGGTATCAGCACAGATTACAAACAGGGCTCATGGTTGCACCAGGGCCGCGAACCCAGACAAGGCCTTCAGATGCAGCAAGGGACCATGGACAATCAATTTGGCTCCAAGCTGTAGCATTGATCATGGACATCTGGTTGGCCTTCAGTGATAGATAACACAGGCCAAGGGTATCACCACAGACCCCAGATGCAGTAGGAGCATGGACCTCTAGTCTTACTGTGGCCAGGTCTGGATTGATTTCTGTGACCCATGCTGCCACCGAAGGTCACCGAAGATGTGTGGTCTGTAATACAGTCTGAAGCCATGTTAATATTCGTGGGCCACACTG